CCGCGCCGCCTCCGCCCCTTCCCTGGAGTGCGGGGTGGAGACCCCAGCGTGGAGAGGTGACCCGCCTGCGGGCGGTGGGAGGGTGGCACGCTGGTGAGGACCCTAGGGAGCCAGGTGAGTGGTGACTTAAGTGAAGTGCCCGCGGGGAGCGCAGCTGGGCTGCTGGGCCAGGCTCGGTGGAGAAGGGGCTTGGAAAGGCGCCTGCCCACCCTACCCCACCCCACCCCACCCCACGGGAGGTTCCTGGAACTGGGGCTGCACACCCAGCGACCGCGTCTTCTTCCGCCAGGGTTTACACTCGTGTCTGGGAAGAACTGATCGGAGGGGCAAACTGTTTCTCTCACGAACACTATTAACCACACCAGGAATTCTGAGCCGAATAACACGATTAGCAAGGTAATGCTTGCAGGTTTTATGGAGGTTTCGAGTCTGCTCGTTGGTGCTGTTGATATCTGGATTCTGTTCGGAAAATAGGGTGCAGGCTGGATCCGCTAACCCCAGATTATTGATCTGGGCGCCTGTCCATTTGGAACAGCACCGATTCCTGAGTGAAATGAGTTGAGAACATGTCAAGACGCAGCTCAGTACCTGCTGCATTTGGAAGTGGTCCCACACTTTGCGGATAGCCAGTTTGAAGCTGCAAGAACCTGTTGTCTGAATCCCCCCCTTTGCCCTGAATACCTCCCCACACCGTCCAGATTGCAACTCAGGAGCAAGATAGTCTCCCCTCCCCAGCATCCGTGACAGTTGCCTTAGCCCAGTGCTTCCCGCACCTCAATGTGCAGAGGGGTGACAGGGGGCTTTGTTAACACCAAAGTCTGATGGGTAGGTCTGGGTTGGACCTGAGATTCTGCATGGTACTCCCGGGTAATGACAGGGCACATGGCTTGAGGGCCACACTTTGAGCAGCAAGGCTTAAAGCACCCCCTTTGGCACTGGCCGAACTATTTTGAGTGCTGACTGCAGCACTTAATAGCTCCATGATCTTAGGCAAGTTCCTTAACATTTAAGCCTCCCAAGCTGCAAAACAGGGATGTTACCAACACTCACCTCAATCTGGAAAATTAAATGAGAAAACCCATCTGAAGTGCCTAGTGTAGTGCCTGGCACGCTTATGTGGGGTTTAGGAAATGTTAGTTAATTGTTGGGGTCACCCTTGCAGGAGGAAAGCTGGCACAAATCCCAGCGCACCTGCAGGGTGAGTGGAGGGTGGAATGGCCCAGGGTAAAGGCAGCCAGCCCAAGAATGACCACTGCACCCCGGAGTGCCTGGCATTGGTCAGATGTGTAGAATAAGGTTGTGGAGCAAATCATAGATGTTTAAAAGTCCTGTTTCGAGCAAGAACCTTCTTGCTGGGAGGTCAGGCAGGGACCTGCACTCTGTCTTGGGGTGACGGAGAGGCAAGGGCTGCTCTGACTGCTCTCAGCCCTGGGGAACTTGACCTCTGCGTCAATGGAGACAACTTTATGAAAAAGGATTAACGCACTGAAAGGTGTTGGGGGAACACATTTCCCAGTGAACTAGGTAGTTTGTGCCACGAGGGAATTTCCAGTAGTGGAAGTGGCTTGGAAAAGCTATCTGTGTACGAACCGTGAACACCTAAAGCACCACGGGATGGCTATTTTCATTTGGACATTTTTTAAAAATATATTTTATTGATTTTTTACAGGGAGGAAGGGAGAGAGATAGAGAGTTAGAAACATCGATGAGAGAGAAACATCGATCAGCTGCCTCCTGCACATCTCCCACTGGGGATGTGCCCACAACCAAGGCACATGCCCCTGACCGGAATCGAACCTGGGACCTATCAGTCCGCAGGCTGACGCTCTATCCACTGAGCCAAACCGGCTTCGGCTGGACATTTTTAAAGAGTTTTTTTTTTTAATGTTATTTTTGTCAACCAGTTCTTCTGTCAGCATAGAGCACTGGATCTGTGAACCTAAAGGTAACTTTTAGGTTTAACCAGGGAAATCCCACAAAACAACGTGGAAAGAAAATGAATCCCATAATATGTTTATTAAAAAAAAACTTTGAAATATTTTTTTAAAAGTTATCCTGTTTCATCTGCAAAACTTTAAATCTTGATAAATGATTTCTGGGACATCAAATTAAAAAATCATTTTGCTCTTTATTACAGATGTCCAGCTGCCTGTCAGATGGGTCATCTATTTTAATATCTGAGAGAGTAAATGGATTGTTAAGGGGTAGTACGTTTTTTATCCTCATTAAAAACCTTGAAATTTAAATGAATTTATTAATGAAGATGTGGTATTCTTAGCTCTCAAAATGAATGGTATTGTCACCATCGTTCTCATCTCTCCCTTCCTCCATTCTCCTCTCTTTGTACCTCCCCACCCCATCCCCCCCACCCAAGTATGAGTGTTTCCTAAGAATCATTTCTTGGCTTTTTATTTTTCTCAGTTTCTGCCATTTCCCTTGGAAATTTATTTACGTCTTATGTTTAATTTTGAAGTGTGTGATTACTTCTGAATCTATACCTACATCCTTAACCCGTTTCCAAGCCCCCATATCTGCATTACCAATTACTTGCTAGGCATTTCCACTAAATTTCCACTAGCCTAGAAGTCCCAGTGTGCTCTAAATTAAGCTCCTCCCTCCTCCCATAAAACTGATATTCCTTGGTAATAAGTCAAGATGGTTATTTGCATGGGCAGCCCTCAGTGCTGTTGCGGGGACTTGGAAAGGACGTGGGACACACAATATGATTATCCCTGCTGCCTTCCTACTGCTCCCAGATATTGCTGTGAGACTTTGCCTTCAACAGTGACTGGGGCTAACTCATAAAAACAACTTATTGGTAGAGCACCCACATATGCAGCTGTGGGCTGCTGCATAAATGGTGATCAGTGTGAATTGAGCTTGTGAGAGTAGGGTAGGCTAGATTATGCCACCGTAGGAAACACCATCAAAATCTCAGTGGCTTCATACAACAAAAGTTAACTTCCTGCTCACGCCAAATCTCCTGGGCAGTTCTTATGGGGACTTATCATTTTAGGCTGCTTCACTCTTGTGACCTCTCCATGAGCACCATGGCAATGGAAGAGTGTAGAAAACTGCACACCAAACCTTAAACACTTTCACCTAGAAACGACACAGACCACTTCTGACATTTCACTGGCCAAAGGAAGTCACATGGTCATTACCAAACTTTAAGGGGTATGTACTCAGAAGGAATGGAAAAGTAGAAATCTTAGGGATAAGTAATGATTACCACAGGGATCCATTTGACATAGGGGGTGAGGGGTAAAGTCAAATTGGAAGCAGTCCAATTATAGTAGGGAATGAGCATAGATACCAGTTGGAGGAAGGTACTCAGTGGTACATGGAGTCTTTGGAGAAGCATTGCCATTGTTATTATACAACTAGAGGCCTGGTGCATGAAATTCATGCACGGAGGAGGGGGGGTCCCTCAGCCCAGCCTGCAACAACACCAGCGTCCCTCACCATGGCCTCTGGCCCGAGGCCCCTCCCCTCCCTCCTGGGCTGGGGCTGGGGCGACGCCGCCAGCATCCCACCCCGGCCACTATGGGCGCCGCCATCTTTGTCGTGGAGTGACAGTTAATTTACACATTACTCTTTTATTAGATAGGATGTTGTTATGTAGAGAGATACTTAACAGTGAAAACTTCCATCTTGCTGCCTTTCAGGGTCACCTTATGCTTCAGCCAAGGTCAGTCAGCTCCAGGCATTGATCATCTAAGCTCTTCTGTGACACAGGAGCCGGGAAGTGTCTTCCATCTTGATTCTACCCTGGGGACACACCAACCATTAATAAGTACGGTTTCATCAACACAAGAACATTTGCTGCTTTGGCTGACATTGGTGATCATTCTCCACTTGAGGAGTGAAAATGTGAGATCCAAGTGTCCCATGTTTCCCTGCATAATTGTCTGAATTATGCTTTTGACAAAGAATTTTCTTGTCTTCAAGGGAATGTTGAAATGTAGTCTAATGAGTAAACATCTGTCCACAGAGGTGAAAAAGCACTTGTATCAGTGTGAACTAATAAAATCTTGGTTTTCTATAAGCTTTTTGGGTTATTTTTTTAAAGAGCAGAGATTCTGTCCACTAAACTTGCTTCTGACATCCCCCGACACCTCGTGTATTTAAAAGAGGTAAAAGCATTGATGAATGCTGTTAGCTCTAACATGCGATATGGATGTAGACTATTACAACGTGTTGCTGGGCACTGAATCATGCTTTTGATCTCAACAATTTTATGTTGTCTCTGCCCACACCCATCAGTGACATCCTTTTAAAAACATGTACCTCTCGTAAAACTGTTCCCAGATAAATATTTTCACAGAACATCAGCATTTGCCTAAAACTAGTATTCTGAGGCTTCAATCACACACTTCCACAAATATCTAAGATGAGTTATTGAAAAGGGGAGACAGAGTTTATCAATTCATATTTTAAACTGTATGCTCAAATACTTTTCATTTTATCTGATTTATTTTTAGCTCAGAGTGCTTGCTAACCTGTGGTCCTGCCTAAGTATAAATCATAGCCTCAACAGACATGCTGCAGTGAGCCACTTAAGAATGCATTGTAATGCCATGCAGACTGAGATGGAAATGTTCATTACCAAGATATGACAGCATTTATCAAGATGGGGCATGCAGGAGGCAGCTGATCAATGATTCTCTCTCAGCACTGATGTTTCTATCTCTCTCTCCCTCTCCATTCCTCTCTGAAGTCAATAAAAAATATATTAAAAAAAGAAATCCTATGTAATAAAAGCCTAATATGCTAAGTGTCCGGTCATCCAGTTGTCTGTTCAACCAATCAAAGCATAATATGCCAATGATATGCTAAGGCTGCTCAACCACTCTCTATGACATGCACTGACCACCAGGGGGAAGAAGCTCCAACTGGTAGGTTAGCTTGTTGCTGAGGTCTGGCCTATCAGGACTGAGCAAGATGGGGCCAGACACGCCCTGGAGCCCTCCACGGTCCCTCCCCGGCTGGCCAACCTCCCGTGTCCCTTCCTGGCCCCGATTGTGCACCGGTGGGGTCCCTCGGCCTGGCCCGTGCCTTCTCGCAATCTAGGACCCCTCGGAATGACAGAGAGCCGGTTTTGGCTCGATCCTGCAGGCCAGGCCGAAGGACCCCACTGGTGCATGAATTTGTGCACCAGGCCTCTAGTAGAATATAAAAGTGTGTATTTCATCTTTAATTTACCCTTTACAATTTCAATTTTTATGGCATATTTTTATGTCTACAATATATTAATGCAGTTGTATATTTATATCATTTATAAATGAATGTGTATGTGTGAGGTAATAAATGTTTTACTTACAGGAGAGTGTAGGCAGAAGGAAGCAAAATAATATTAGAGCAAGGTATCTATGATTAGCTTTGTTTTTTGGAAGATGACTTAGACAGCACTTTGGAGTGGAAGGTGAGAGACCAGAGTCCGGAAGATCAGCCAGGTGACTACTATGCTGACTCAGAGGACAGGTGGTGAGGACCTGGTGATGGAGAGGAGAGCTCAACCAAAGCACATGGTTTGGTTTTTAGTAGGGATGCGTGTGTGTGAGACAGAGACAGAGAGATTGTAGCTTGCCAGTCTTAATGGATGGTGGAACTGTTACTTGAGGGAGGACATGGGATACTGAACAAGATACAGAGTTCAGTTTAGGACATGTTAAGTCAGAGGTGCCCAAGGGATTCCCGGGAGATGGCTGGTGGGTGTTTTAAATATAAATCTGAGGCTCAGGAGAGCTTGGAGATACAGATTTTACAGGAGCCTTAGTTTCTTGATCTGCAGCTCTTTCTATAACTGCTGGTCTTTAAAAAAATCCCTTCATTTAAAGAAAAATTAACACAGCAGCTTAACATTTATAATTATTCATAATGTAATAAAAATGATTAAGAACATTGCATGATGGTATGACATCATCACCAAACAGACAATCTTAGAATTTTAGTTGGATATTTGGGCTAGTTTACTATTTTGATCTTTTTCAAGTGTTATCTAGACAATGATGTATTATAAAATAGTCACTCTCTCGTACTGTCTTTCACACCTAAAACCTTGTTGTTCAAGCCAATCATTTATTTTCTTTTACTGCACTGTAAAAATTGTGACTGCTTTCTAATTCTGCTGTACATGTGTCCCTCCTTCAGGAATCATGAGCATTGTAAAACTAAGGCGTGTTATTTATTTGACAGAGCATGTTCTTGCTAAGTTATGAGGATGGCTTTCATACCATGCCATTTCCCTCAATTGCTTACCTTCCATTTACTAAGAATCTGCAGGTAATTTACCAGTTTAATTTTCAGGTTTCATACAATTCTATTGCTAACCATTTATCTTATAAATAAGGTACTGTTATTAAATACTGCTAAGTAGATATTTATTTAATTTTGCAGTTTCTCATATCATGGTTTTGTGGCATTGTATCATCTCAAGCATGTATGCAGTATTCTTTATTATAGTGGAATTACTTTTAGTGCAGGGGTTTATCCCTCTCCGTTAGAATGGAAGCCCCAGGAGGGCAAGACTTTTTGTGCATTTTGTTTACTGTTCTATCTCCAGTGCGCAGAACTGTGTCTAGAATGATAAATAAAATCTCTGAATGACTGAATGAATACATAAACAAAGGAACAGAATAGACTCATAAATGTCTTGATTTGAATCATCTTCCTTTCTATTTTTTTAAAATTTAAATCTTACCATATTGTTTTATTTCTCTGTAATTTAGCAACTTCATTTACTTTTAAAAACTCAGTTTAATATAAGTTTATTGTGATATAGTTAGCTTGATACAGACAAAAAGTTTTACTCTTTCAGCATCTAGGAGAAAAAGTCCTTTCAATCTTCTTTTAGCTTACAGATACACTAAAGGCCACAAACATGTCTTATGTAAGTCTCCCAGAAATATTTAGGTAGGAAGGTCTAGTCTTAAAAACCAAACCCAGCTTTCATAAGCAAAAGTTCACTCTAGAATAAGGCAAAAAGGTAAGTAAATAAAAATATAAAATATATTAAAATAATTGGAGACCTAAAAATCAATTTCTCAAAGACCATGACTGTACTAGGGAAACACTAATCAGATGCTATACATGAAGGCATTGCTAAAATAACATCTAACCAAATGCACAAATTAATTCTTGCTCTTATTATCACCATTTCACAATACTATGTTTCCCCCCACCTAGAACCTGAGAAGAGTAACCGGGGAAAATGCCACTGACCCATCTCCGAGAAACCCAGCTGCTGGGAGTGTGCGTTGGCTCTGGGGACCTGGACCAGACCTCGCATAACGATAATGGATGGAGAGTGAAATCTGCAGTGGTGGGAAAGCCGGCCCGAAGCTCCCCAGACAATGGTGCTGGGGAGAAATGCTAACGTGGTTTGCCATGCTACCATGTGTTTCTTTGTTCTCTAAGAACATCCATTCTGCTCACCACTCATGAGCACACATTTAGTTTTATCTCACAGTTAGGAGTGTGAATGAGTGAAAACAGAATGCGGAACATCTCCTACTGAGTCCACACGGGCGCTCAGGCCCTTTCACAACTCTTTCCCCTCCTTTTATTCTCTTTGTTGTTGTTTTGTTTTGTGTTTTACTCTTTTAAGGACTGTATAGGATTGAGCACGTTTTAGACAAGTCACAAACATTTCCTGTTACCTGAAAACAAATGTGTGCTCGTAACAGTGATATGACCCAGGAGCAGGGACCAGGAGTCCACATGCTGCCCAAAGGCCTCTAAGGTGGGGACAGATCTTTGTGGTTATCTCCAGAATAGTGACATTTTTTGATGCCAGTAAGAGTCACCTTGGCTGAAGACTGAATTGGTAACATGCTGTTTATTCATAATGAGCTCTAGCCTGCACCAAATCGAACCAAGTGCAAAATACAAAAATAAAATAAAATTATATGTTTAATGTACACAACTTGCTGAGTTTAGAGGTGACACTTTTGATCCTGACTGGCAGAGACCTCAGATGCCAGAGGCAGAGCCCTGCTGGCTTCTAACACAAGAAGAGAGGGCTGTGAATTTAAAGAATAAAATGAACTCATTTTTCAAAAAAGCCCAGAAATAGTCAAAGAGTTAAACAGATTATGGTTTGGTTATGTGATGGATTTTTTGGTAACTGCTGGAAAAAATTCACATTAAAATATTTTAGGCTATGGTAAAACGATCACTTTAACACATTAAAGGACAAAGACAAAATTCAAAAGTTTTGAAATCTTATATATCCAGGATGATGTCATTTGAGTAAAATGTTTCCATATGTTTCTATGCATAGAAAAGTAAATAAATAACAGAAAATATTTTTAAATGGTGGTATTCCTGAACTACAGTGAATTTCTGCTCTCTTTTGTATGTATCTCTATATATTTAGAGAGAGGGAAAGAGAGGGAGGGAAGAAGGAAGGGAGGGAAAGAGGTAGAGAGAGAGTGAGAGAGAGAGAGATTGATTGTAAGGAATTGGCTCTCACTCTTTTAGGATGACTGTGGGGGCTGAAAAGTCTGAAATCCGGAAGGCTGGAGGCTGAAGAGTGGATGCTGCAGTGCCGAGGAGAATTCCTTCTTCTTTGGGAAACCTCAGTCATTTCTCTTAAAGGCTTCCACTCATTGGATGAGGCCCACCCGCATTATGGCGGGCAATCTACTTTAATCACATCTCAAAAATACCCTTGCAGCAACATCTGCATTTGTGCTTAAACAACTGGGTATCACAGCTAGACAAGCGGACACATAAAATTACATCACAGCTTTCAAGCAGTTCCCCGAAACCACAGCCTCCTGAAACCCTTTCTGGAACACAATCCAGGTCTGAGGCCTAGGCTATCTGTTACCGGACATAGAAGCAGAGAGCAAATGAGTCTTGCTTAACAGGCTTTCAAAAGAGCAATAAACACAGCTCAGTCTGACCTAAAGAAAAAATAACATTTCTTTCAGTTACATTTCAGGGTATTATGAATATTTTTTTAAAAGGCAAAAACAAAACCCACACCACAATCAGTATTTGTGCTTTGACTGTTAGATGAAAACAGGCCAAGGGGTTAGTACATTCAAGGCACAAGAGAGCCCAACTATCAACTGATGAGTCTGATATTCAGATTAGAATAAACTGATTGACGTAAAAAAACAGGAACAGTATATTTTAATTTTCACTCGACATCAAACCGTGGGGCCTACTTACGTCTTCAAATCAACTGGTGTGGGTCCACGAGTTTGGAATGGAATGTCCCCCCCATACTCTTCTGCTTCGTATGCTCGGACATGTTGATGTGCATTTGCCTCAAGCTGGGACCCATTGGGCGGTACATGCCTGTGGTCTCCACCACTGGCAGCCTCTGGGCCACGCGGGACAGGTGTCCCCTTCTCCCTCACAATGTAGGTATTCCCATGGCGGCATTGCCACACTGCTATCCTTATCTGCTCATCGGCCTCTTAGGAGAGTGTGCGTGTAGCCCCTACAAAGTATGAGGAAGAGTGAACCATGACAGTACATTGCTGCCTTTTCCTATTCTCTGCATATTTCAGTGCACCTGTCATTCAGAAGGTGGTCTTCCCAGGTCAAAAAGTTTAAATCTGTGTGGCCCAGCACATTGTGGACTTAGGCTTTTTAGTGTTGATTTAATAAACACGTAACTGCAGTTTCTACAGTATCAGGCATGTATGTCAGACTTGCCTCTGTGTAAAGCATTATATTAATTAAAGTCATAACCACAGCATTCTGTACTTCAGGATTTTAGATAATA